TTAAGAGGACTTAATCTCTCTTCTTCAGTTCCCTCAACTGAGTGGATACAATTGTTTACAGTCTCCCAGTGAATCGGACTTAGATTTATGTTAAATGTTTCCTTTTAGTGGGTTATTTTTTTTTAACACAGATGGGTTCCTCAATTTAGTTCAATACACAGCCTTGGGAAACTGAAGGAGCAAGGGAACAGGAGCGAGCAGGTGGAGCAAACTGAGAGCAAAGGCAGCTTCATCAAATACTTCTGTCAGTACTTTTTGTCTTTTCAAGCAAAATCAGTCCTTAGAGTAGGTTGGGGGTTTTTTTTGGGGGGGCGGGGGGCTGTTGTTTTCTAACCTGTAATACAAGATCTCAGCTTTTCCTGACAAATGCATTCTACACTAGTGGAATAACTTTCAAGTAATGCCACTGTTAAAAACAAGGAAAGTACTTTGCATGGGAAACTCCATGGGCTGGTACTTGAGTGGGTGGCCCAAAGGAAACACTATGATAATCAAGTTAGCAGCAAAGAGGTTTTTCCATACCTTTTCCTGTACAATCCAATGTGTGCAGAACAAGAGGGGGGAAAAAAAGCACACTGATGTAACATTGTTCTTCCCATTCACCGTGTACACATGGGGAAACGTATACAGTCGCAAAATAGACCGGTTTTCTAAAGCTAAGACCTCAACACGTGAGTTTAGAGAAATTTCTCCAGGCATAGCAAGACAAGAGAATAAGAAAAAAATATTTAAGCTACTTTAAATTCATCTATAAATATTCAATTCTCATTGCAAGAGTGAGTAGTTAAGGGAAATACACAAATTTTAACTGAAGTCAGAAGTCACTAAGCAATGGACTACCACTCAGGTTAGTTTTTAGTTTGAACAATAGTCCATGAATCACCAATGCAGACTGTTCATGTGGTGAGTACTTTCTTCCTCATGTTACCAATCATAGAAAGTGTATGTTTTATCCTCTCAAAATTTTGGTCTTTTATACGTGCTAAATCACATTGGGTTGATACTAGCATGGAAGCTTTATGAAATACACTCAGTGCAAAACACATCAACATCTAAGAAATTAATTCCAAAAGACTTGTTTCTAAAGTTCATCTATTCTAAAGCACAGGAAAAAAAATTATCCTGATATAGCACTCATCTAATATGTTGAAATTTCATGCTACTTTGAGAAAACTTTTGAGCATGGAGACTACTTTTAGCTATGTGTGCTTGAAAGAGTCAGCTCTTTTTTCTGTAATAGCTCCTTTGTCCCACTTTGTGCGACACAGTAAGTCTTCCCATATGTCTCAGTGGCACTGAGGAGCACTTACAGAAGGATTATAGTCTTCTCCCTCTCCCTGGACCCTCAGCCGAAAGGCTCCCACACTTTCTAATTGCAATTTGCAACTTTTATTTACATTCTTACCTTGGAATTACTTCAAAGGTAATCAGTATTCACCTTGTCTAGGTTGGCTTCCTATGGCCACAAGTAGAACTAGGATCAGCATAGAGTTGCAGGTCACTTTTTATCATACGTTTCGAGTTTAAGAGCAGACAGCCATCCCAGAAAATTTGCAGTTCAGAGGATTTGGTGGTCCTTAATGACACGGTGGACAATAGAAATGCTGAACTGACAGTATGGCTCTGGCACAAAACACCAGGCACAGTTATCAACTTCTAGGACTGATCAATCAAAAGATTAACTTTGGGAACAGACTAGTTCTCTTTCTCTTAGATTTCTAAGTTTGGGTTTTTCTCCCAGGTTCTTATTTAGAGACATACATAGTTTGCATAAGACCACTGGGAACTGTTGCAGAGTATTCCTACAAAAACTGATTCTCCTCATTTGCTGACTCCAGCTCAAATCTGTGGTGAGAGGGGCAGGAGCAAGACAGCTCAGGAAAGAATTTTTACGGTCCCTATTTTCAAGCCTTTAGTCTGAGTAGGTTTGGATCATAGCCACAAGAAGTTCTTTCATACCTTACTCGGTTTTGCCTGATAATTGAGAATTAGTTTTATCTCCAGAAGAGGAACTAAGCACAAAGGCACCAGCAGGTGGGCATATCACAGCCCCAGAGAGCTCCCAAACTTACATGCTAGACCAGGAGTTACTGAACCAGTCGAAGTAAAACTGTAAAGAGCTGCAAACAAACTTTTGCAGATGTTACTCATGTATGTTTCACACCCATAATTTGCAAGTGAAGTAATGCCAATATTTATGTACTGTAAGTACATAATTATGTTGCTACGGAACATAATATTCCCCCTGTAACTGAGGCTCAGGCTAAAGAGATTTCACTTACTTAAAAGCAGAATTCTGGTTGAGACTTTACATACCTATCATAACGTACATGTTACTGAAACTTTTATGCTCATTATTATGTGTGTGAAGAGTCAGTGATTTCAGTGATATCCTTACATTAAAAGCAGTTTTTAGAAACACTGTTATTCACTAAGTCAATAATGTCTGTACTCTTTTATTACACATATGCCCAAAGTTTCAAGAACTGGACTTTAACATTAGAGTACAACAGTCAGGTTTCAAAAGCACAAACATGGGCGAGAGTCCTGCTGACTGCAAACTGGAAAAAATACTTCAGCTTTCTGGATCTACTGAAGTTTACCACCACCACCTGTTGCTTCCTAAGTAAGAGCCGGTTACTTTGTAGCTCAGTGTGATGCAAAGTGCCCTAAGTCTATCATCACCACCTAGCAGAAAATAATCAATAGTATATCTGCTAGTTTCTACAAGGAAAATAAATGGTGATGAGACAGTGAAGAAGTTCCAGAGATTTTTTGTTTGTTTGTTTATTTTTAAATCATTTAGTTATGGTCAGGTTAATACTTTTAGTTCATTTTTTTTTTCATTCCCAGAATGAAAAATTCCCTTAAGATGCAACTGAGATTAAGAGTCTCTAGCTATAATTTAGGAAGATAATTATAGCTTCTCTAATTACCATCAGAACAAGCTTTACAAGCTTTTTTAGTAACTCCACGTAACAGCCGTATGATTAGAGAACAGTGAAGTTTAAAATCTGAATCGCAATTACAGCAATTTCTACTTCTATTATATTACTACAGGGTCAAAAAGGCTGTTTAATTCTCACCTTTCCCATTCGAATTAAGTTTATTCCCAACTGAGAATGTTCTAGAGTTGAAACCATTTTCTCTCATATAGTATGATATTGCTGCAAGGTTTTTTTCCACATAATTTCGTGATGTATACATTTAAAGTTAAATATAAACCCTCAAGTATTTAAATTATAAAAATTAAACAAGAAACACATAAAATGCTATTGTAGAACATTATTTGAAGCATATAAATATTTAAACACTAAAAAAATATTCCATATTTACCAGAACACCCACAGCTGGTTTATGCTGCTAAAAAATACAGCAAAAAAGGTACTGTTAAATTTACATTCCCTACGCTTCTGTTTCTCAGTCTATAGAAACACGTTCACTGACAGGAAGCTGATTTTTAAAAAATGATTACTTAATCAGCAGAAGCTGAGGAACTCTCGTCTTCAAGAAACACTATTTCAGTTCTGAAAAGACCCTCCTCACTTATCGATAGCTGCAGCTAAGAGCTCCTCATTCTGTCCACAATCACGAAGTAACAAGAAGCAATGCTTCTTTTCCAAAGGGCATTACAACCGACAGCACTTATTGGTCACCTGTCCTCTCAAATGAAAATATTCCCTTGGATGTTTTGAGAAATAAAACAAATCTGTCCTCCTTCCTCCACCCACAAATCCACATTTTTAAACGGAAAATTATTATACAGCAACACAGCTGGGGAGATAATAAATCTTCTGGATCTGGAAGATCCCCCCCAAAAACCCCACAAACAAACAATAACAAACAAACAAAATCAAACACTTAGAAAATACGTCACCTGAAACTATCTTATAACACAAATAATTGGCTACCTTTATGAGAAATTTTAGTGAGAAATTAGAAATTCTAATCATTAGAATTCTTTAGGAAAAATAACACAAGGAAAATAATTTTTTCAAAAATTCTTAGAACTGTTAGACTGCTGAACATATTCTGAACACATATAAAAGAGAGTTTCTATTATAACATTGAAACTGCTGGGTATTGCAAATTTATGGAACTCAAATGGAAAGGAGGAGAAATACAAGCACATTTCCCTCTCCAGTTCCCTGTTTCCCTTATTACACCAGTTCCAGACTGCAACAATGGCAAGACAGCTACTCTCTGCACCAGACAACGGGAACACGTTATACAAAAAGCATATGAAAAGGCCTTAAGCATTAGAAATGGGTATTCTGGACAATCAAGTCATAAAAACTGCATTTAATGGAGATTACACCGATCCCACCATTGCAAACTTTCACTTAACAACTAAACACAACTTTTGCTGTATGCACATTTTGAAAAGCCTCAAAATACTGAGTAACCTATAATAACAGGTAAGATAAACTACACCTAGCATCAACAAAATAAATAAGCTCCATCCACAGTACGAAAGGGCAAATTCATACAGAATGCCACATAGTTTGGGTATACAGGAGGGGGACCGAGGGTTACTTTTTTTTTTAACTAGAAGAAAACCTCACTTTTTCACGTGGCATATAGGCACTTGTCCTTATAAAGACTATACCAAGGCCAAATTTGAAGCCCTCAGAAAGGTTCAATGCTATAATATGATAGATATTTCTTGGGAGAGCAAAGAAAGAAAAAAAAAAAAAACCCACACATAGCATTTAACAATGCTTTGCTTTAACAATCATCTAGAAGGAAATGCATCTAGGTTGCATGTTACCATTATGCAACCCCAGACTTGCATCTGAAAAGTGAAATTCCCAGTAATCGATACAAAAATTTTGCACTTGAAGGTTTTACTTTGAGATACGATCTTAAAAGCCAACAAATTATCTGAAGTCCAGATATAAACTGGGACAAAAGCCCTGTTACGTACATATGAAGAAACATCACTACTGAAGAGTTAATTAAAATAAGACCCTTGTCTTGGTCTCAGTATCATTACTTACCCGCTTTGGCCCACTAAAAATCTTCCTGGTATTTTCCTTAGATTTATCACCTTGTTTATTTGTGGATTTCTTATTGCCTTCAGGCACACCAGATGCATCCTCTGAAAACTCCATAAGATCTGTAAAAGGTAAATGCAGACATGAAACAACCACATTGAAAGCTGCTGAACTGCTGCAGCATTTCTTGCATCTGACATTGCTCCCTGTATAGCTTCTGAAATTACACAATAAACAATCTTCAAAAAAATCAGCTTTAGAGCCAAACACAGTTTGGGACGGAGTTCAGGTTTACTGACTGAACTGTCATAATACGTAGAAGATACATTATAAGGTACATGGTCACAATTATTACAGCACCTCTTGCCCATTGTGTAAGTTTCAAGTTATTCTTTCCCATTTTATACTCCTGTGAATCCCTGGTTACCTTTTATACGTGTTTACTTATGGCTTACTGCTACAAGTCTGAGCAGAAGACGAACTAAACAGTAGATAGGGTTCTTCAAAAGTGGGAGATTAAGAGACTGAGAACAAGAATACTTCCCGCTACAACTACAGGATCGAAGAGTTGCTCCCCCTTCACTTCTCTGGAAGGCAGTCAAATAATCTGCTTATTCTGCTATGAACAGTATTAAAGAAATATGGTCATCAGGTCAGAAAGGAATCAACTAGAAGGAACCACTGAAATGGCCTTTCAATGTATTCAATACTTGCCTTATCAGTAGTTCTAGTACTCAGTTTTGGACTGTAAATCTGCGATCCACCACTCCAATAAAATTCTTGTCCTAATTTTTTTTTCTTTAAACTTGTGTTGTATTTGAAGCATTATCCCTTGGAGACCAGCTTATGTTCTTTTACTTGGCACAAACCAGAAGTTACCATAAATGTCAAGATGGAAATAAAGACAGGGACAGCGAAGCACTGTTTCATCTGATAAACAGTTCCGAAAACCAATCTATTCCAGAGAAGCTGCTGCTATCTGAGAACTGCACTGCAAAAATACAAGCAGGATGGATGGGTTACTCTAATCCCAAGTGCACTCACATCCAGTAAACAGGACCAGTCAAGCACCTAGGTAAGGAGGCAATCAAAAGGAAATGAGGCAAGCAATTTTCTAACGGCGCTCACAAGGACACAAAACTTACCCAGTCTGGAAGATATAACTATTCTTGAAGTAAGGTTCAAAAGTTTCTTAAATTGCAGTGAATTTCAATGGGCTTGGCAGCACCAGGGCACGCAGGATGTCCACTGCAAGGTACCTACCAGAACCAGCCTCTCACATCCCAGCCCAATGCTTTTGAGTTCAGTTGTACAGTGTCAGCGCAAGAGCTTAAGAACAACAACATGAACAACCCCTCTGAAAATAACTGACTTTAAAAGATGTTTTGATAAAATTAGTCTAACAGAGGAAAAATATTACAGATCAATTCCCGTTAACTTAAATGAAGTAAAACTACTTCCAAATCTATATAAAAGTCAACTTAGTCCTTTGCTGGAACTTACCAATTAAAGGAGTCAAATCAAATTGCTTTGATATGTGTCTTTACAAATCCTGAAATACTTTTGAAGAAGTCAGGCTCTGAATGTAATTCCCAAAGAAAGTGAAACCAACAGAACTGGACCCTCCTATGATAGATTAAAGGCTAAAACGTAACTCACTTCACTACAGTAATTACAAATATGCAAGTCACTCTAGAAATGCAAGATGCATTTTCACCCACCAAATCAGCACAAGACTTTGTGCCTTGCGCTAAGACTTGGGAGTAGGTATTGTATTTAAGAATGTATAACACTGTTCTGTATCAACTAAGCCACGAATTTCAAATTGTCTAAGTTTCTTTGTTTGAATTCTACTCCTACGTGATCCTGAGCTATCCTATTTAAAATAAGTCATTTTAAATTCAAAGAAACTTCTTAATAAAACTGTTTCAACTCCTACTCACAATAGGATAATTTTGCATTTTTTGATGTTGCTAGCATATCAAACACTTTTATGATTAGTTTCTTAAGATTATCTGGAATGCTTTTATTTGAGCAATGCTCTTTGAGGCCTTCTAGATACCCTAAAAGCACTCTGCGTACATGTATCTTACCAGATTTTAATAGCTAAACTAAATAGGGCATGGGGGTGAAGTCCTTTATTAACATTAACTGAGCCAGGCAAAGACACCAGTAGTTTGGTAAGCAGTGACACTAATGAAGCTTGTTTTCCTTTTTCTCAATATGGGAGCATGCAAAGCCTTTTCTCCTCTATCCAACCACTTTCAAGGCATTTATAATCTTTGAGATAATTTGCCTGTCTCGGTTAAAATTGGAAAGATGTTCAAAGACCAACTAGAAGGCAACACCATAGTAAATTTCCTGGGGAAAAACAATCCAGTTTTGTTTCAGTGCCTGAGGGTAATTCTGCAGAAAATTTTGAAGTCCAAACAGGACTGTGCCTTGGAGGACTTTGATGTACTCTTAACTGGCTAAAAATATTTACCCAATTAAGGTGATTCAGTTTCTGAGGAGATGCAAAGGAAGAAAAAAAAAAAAAAAATAGGGCAAACTTGCTCACCAGAAGTGAACTGAGTGCTAGATGCTGATATACAAAAGCTATTCTATTATCCCAAAAGATTACAGGAATCTCATCTTGATCACTGAAAGGAAAATGAATACATGACACAAATGTTAAGTTACATATCAGAACTGATTTACAAAGGAAAAGGCTAAACTGCAATACTTACACAACAGTAACAGGATAACTGCTAGTATAATTTAAATTAAGAATACTGTAGTTCATCATTACTGTACTACTTATGAGATAATATAGTGAAGAAGGAGGTGAAGTAAATAAAAATAAGGATGTTAGAAAGGTTAGATCGTCATACTTTCCTTTAGCAGAAGGTTTCAGGGCAACTGCTCTATCCTGTTTATGTCAATCTACATAGAGATACAGAAACATTTAATTTTAGTCAGCTTTTTTTTTTAAATGCCTGTCACTTTCTGTAATTATTTGGTTGTCGTTGGCCAAAATGAAATGCAGTAAAACCAGCGATAACATAGTCCCAAGTGTCCCAGTTGAACAGCTAGGAAATAAAGCATTCTGAGACCACAAGTTTAGAAGTTAAACGTATTAGAAATCTTAGTGACCACCCAAATCACTGACAACCATGGCAGGATCTTTAGAAAAAGGCAGAAACAAACTGATAGCACAGTTATTTCCAGACATATAACACCATCCCACAGATACAGGTTTACTCTTTAAAACTGAAGTTTAAAAGTTATTTTTGGTTAAGCCTTACTCTTCTTTGACACTAGTTCAGATTTCTCTTGGATACAACTCCCCATTGAATAATATAGTCAAGTAATTAAGCCATTTTCCTCTGGTATTAAAAGCTTCTCTTTACTAGTCAACCTGTATTCTGGCTAGTGAAACGATACAGGTACTGTCTGGGATCTAGTAAAGTCTCATCAGTACTTTCAGCCCCGGCATCCTGACAGACTGCAGCTGGGAGGATGATGAGTGACAGGCGCCTTTGCTTTACTGGGCTGCTACACCCCTGAGAGAATTTCAGATTGCAATGGCAAAAAACATAGCAACTTTAACTAGAACTCAAGGCTTCACCAAAAATCTCAGGCTCATAAAGTTATGAAATATCTTCATTAAAAAGAAGAGTCTGTGAACAGTATCTAGGAATTTAAAAGTCGGAGCACCTTGTGGTTTGGGTTTTTTAGTTTTTATTTGTTTGGGTTTTGTTTGGGTTTTTTGGTGTTTTTTGTAACCATTTCAGCAGGCAACACTACTGTAAAAATCAGCAACAGAAAAGACACTTCAGTGAAAAACAGTTTAACTAAAATTGGATTTATCTACTTTGCATTTTTTCCTGCACTAACAACATTGTCCATCTAGTCTTTGGTGCTTCCTTAAATTTCATTTGCAGAAACATTTAAATATGTATTATTAAACTTACTTTCCCTCAACTGTGAGCTACTACACTGGAAGGAACAGTCCATCTCCAGTTCAGTTAGAAAACTTTAGCATGATGTTCTATGGTAAGATTCTATAATACGTTACATAAAAATAGGCCTAGATTATGGTAACTAACCAAATCAATACTAAGCAAAAACTTTGTAAGACTAACAGAAAGCATCAAAACTCTTGAAAAACTGGCTACACCATGTAACATTCTTTATGCACAGAATGTCAAAACCAGCCTTAGGAATTTCCGGGGCTGGAATTCAGAGAAGCAGTCTGCAATCTCACCTGCCAGCCTTGAACAGGAACACTGGATTTTTATCTGTGGAGTTATTCATTAGTACAAGAACAGCACATACAGAACTCAGGTAGCATTAGCATCTCCCAGTACTCTTTGTAACTTCAGGAAAAAGGTTTCTTGTGAGAGATGTTCTGAAAGCTTTTTCTGAGGCTTGGATTCAAAACTGGCATTTTCCATGGACACAGAAGTCACTTTTTTCAGTATGTAAAGACGTTACCTCACAGCAATGTCACATATTTTGCCACAACTTCAGGCTTAGATCCAGAAGTCCTTGATAAATTCTCAGACTCAGCATCACTATATTTAAGGACCTTAATATCGCTGTTCTGAGAGATCATGATGCTCAAAATTTTCAAAGGTCTGAGAGAAGACAGCATGAAATATATCAAGGAGTCCTACAAGCTTCAGGGCAACATCAGAATCCCTGTTTTATAATCTGTATTACAGGACTGAACTAGGGAATGTGCTGCAACTTAGGTAAATAACTTCACGTCACCCTTTCAATTTCCAGAAATAAAAATGCAAGTCAAATCTCACCTGGCTACAGTAGCACAAAACAGGAATCAAATGAGGCAAAGAGATATAAAATAAAGGAGAAGCATCTCTCAGCAGAGGCACTGAGAGGTAGCTCCAACTCTGAGAAGTGGAGAAGTATATTAAGAAAATAACAGAACAAAAATTTACATCTACCCATGCCATTTGAATCTCTTCAGAAAATATTTCAGATAAATACTCTGTGACACCTCAGACTATAATGGTCTCCTTGGTGAATGTAGTGCTGAATGCAAACTGTGGGTATTTTGAGACTCCAGAGGACAGCAGCTGAAAGGATTATTCGATAGGTCAGCATCTCAGCTGCATTAACTGCATAAGCCATTTTTTAACTTGAAATAAACGGCTGAGCAAAGACTTGTCAGAGAAAGGAACTCAGACGGAATATTTCATAAGTGGCCCTGTAAGTTAAATCCATCTTCCAAAGAGGCTGGAATGCAAGTGTCTCATCATAATTAAATTTTACGAAAATTTATGAAAACAAATCAAGGTGAGGTTTTTTTGTTTGAAAACACAATCTTCTCATATAAGATCACTATCAACTTGGTCCTTTTAGAATTTACAAAAAACCTAGCAGTTACATTTACCTTTGACTAAAAGGCTTACAGACAATTCTGATTTTAGAGACCACTACAATTAGAACAGAGAAATAAATATTTTTTTCCTATGAAATTTTATTTCTGGATTACATTAGCAGAAGCTATTTGTAGGAAAAAAACAGCTTCTCCACCATTTGCAAGGCTAGACTTGAGTCCTCCCCTCTCCCTATCACAATGAAATACATCTTGCCAAAATCTTAAAAATGCAACAACTTCAGTGAATGGATAAAAACTTCTCATGCATCATGCTCCAAAATGGAGGACCAAAAAGTTCCCTAGAACAGTGGCAGTGTTTCCAAATACTCATTCCAATATACATGATTCTTCAGCATTAGAGTTTTTCAAAAAGAAAAATCTAGAAGTTTTTCTTCCAAAGTTATTCCTTTTCTTCTTGACCAACATACCTCAACCTTGATCAAAGTCATTACGCAGGACCCAACTGACTGACAAGCAAGTCTAATTTTTCAAAGGCACTTAAACACCAGAACTTGCTCAGTAAATTCTGCATGAACAGTGTTACTCATGCGTGTGTACACATACACACACACATACCACCTATGCAGAAGATGGAGACACCTGAAAACTGGGAGCAAAAGCAGAAATACACCAATATGCAGAGGCACACCCAAAGCCAGTCATCTGGCTGGCGGTCCATGGGTCCCCACAGCCACCCTCCTTGAGCTGTCCATCCTCAGGTAAGATGGCACTTGAGAAAGGTCCAAACCGTTTGCAAACACATTCAAAAGCACAAAAAGGAAAAAGATATTTCACATCAATAAGAGCTACTTAAATTTCTGCACTCAGATCCACATTTCTGGGTTGATGTAGAACTACTGTGGGAAGATATCTGCCTTCCAAGCATAGGTACTGTATGCTCAACACACCAAAAAGGTAAGAATCTTCTGCTCAAAACACTCTACCTCTGGCAAAAGATCAAGGGTTATAAAGCATATTTCAAGACAGCTATGAAACACTAGACAGGACCACAGCAGAAATAAGCAAATTTAACTTTTAGATTTCCAGATTGGTAGTACTATTCAATAAACTCCTAGGCATACTGCAAAAAGAACATAATACAAAGGTCAACTAAATTTAAGTGTTAAGTACGTATTCCAGAAGAGTTCTGCTTACCTGCATTAGTACTGAGCTGGCTATCCTGGGAACAGTTTTCATTGCCATCAGAGGTTGACTGGAGTGAAGAAGATGGTGCAGTTCTACTTCGCTTTTTGTTAGCTTTCCTTTCTGCTATCTGCCACTCTTCATCTTCATCGTCACTTTCACTCAAGTCATCAAACCCAAAGTACTTGATTTTGTAATTGGAACTCCCAGAACTTCTAGAGGCGCCTTCATCTCCCCCTCCCTCATCTTGATCATCAAACCCAAAAAACTCTAATTTGACATCCTTTTTGGATTTGGTATTGCTCGGTCGAAACCTGGTTGTAGTTTTTGTAGTAGCAATGTCTGCTTTTTTTCTTAAGCGTCCAGCTTCTCCCAGGTCAGTAGGGGCTGCTGTGGTAAATTCATCGATTCGTTCCATGGTATCCTGTATAGTAACATTACAAACTGACAAGCAAGATGGATGTAGAACAGTGTAGTCTCTAGTCCGTCCAACCGTCCCTCTACAAGTGGTCCCACTACTTAAAGAAACTTTTCTTGCTGGGTTCAGACCATCATTATTCGACTCATTGTTTGCTTTGGATAAAGACTGACTAGTGCCATCCATGAGCTTGTCAAAATTTGTTGCCCCCTGCGGTTTTGCTTTGTTGGATCGACAGTATGTCCTACAGTTGCTTGGCCTAGGAATAGTTTGCACAAGTTCTTCACTAATGGCTTCCTTTGGATTTTCAGTATCTTCTTTATCACACTCCTCATCCTTGCTCTTCACCTCTGGGAGATGTTCATTGTCAAAATCTAAGAGATACTCTCCAGTTCTGGTGTCTTCAGTTTCATCCTCCCATTCATACAACTGAGTTCTTAATGGCCCCTTCGTCTGAGATGTTTCTGATGGAGAGTCTGCTGTTTTTCCAATGTGGGAGTCCCAAGAATCAGGTAAGTCCTTGGTTTCAGTGTTGCATCCAGAAGCATCTGTAGTTTCAGCATTGGTTTTGTTACTGTCTTCAGCATTCTCATAGATGAAATGACTGTTGTTCTCATTATCTTCATTCAAATTCTGTATTTTATCTACAAGAAAAGATAAATTTATTACTAAAAAGCATTATTAAAAAAATAAACACTATTTCAGGCAACTCTGAAAAGTCACAATATAACAGCAAATATTCAGCGTTCAATGACAAAAAAAATTAGAGGTCCTCATCCTCCTGGTTTACACTTTTTAAGCCTTCCTGTTTAAAATTTTTGCTATAATAAAATCTTGTCACCATTTCTAGCAAAAATATACAGTAACTTGAAATAAGCATCACTTTGAAAACATGGGCCCCATGAAAAAAACAGTAGTAAAAGCTAAATACAACCACTTATTTATCTATACAACCTACAGAAAAAAGGAGAAAAAGCCTGCACCAAAATTTTCAGCGAAGCCAATCATCATTCGATGTTTCACACAAGTGACCTACAGTGAATAATTAGAAACAGAGAGATTATAAAGCATTTTCTAATTATATAAGAAAAAAATTTCCTTCCTGTACATAGCTTAAGTGTTCTATTTTATTCTTATGTAAACTTACCCCCCCCCCAAAATCGTTGTTTACATCAAGCTATTGCAACTACACTAGTGTTTCAAGTGAGTTTTGCAACATAGATTTTAGCATCTGATTTGCTTCAGATGCCCTGCTTTAAGCACTTTTTGCTTTTGCATAGAACTTGAAAAGAACAGGTAATATTATTAAAAACACAAAACATGTATTGATTAATGAATTAGCTAAGTTTGCATACATTCACTTTAATACTACGAGATGCACTACAGTAGCCTACTGTAGTCAGGGAAGGGGATGCATGGGCAGGTTACAGCTGCTCTTTCAGATATTCCTGGTCTAAGAACCAGATAGTAGTGAGGCATCATCACAGTAGAAATGCAAGTCAGCATGGGCCACAGAACCTACCAGTGAAGTTCAGTAAATTTGCTGAAAATTATCCTATAATCCACTCCTAATGCAGTAACTGTACAGCCACTAAAACCAGTGAAAGTCATCTACTAGCATGTCTGCACTAAAAATGCTACAGTCCCTGTTACAAACTGTACAAGTTTTGATCCATGTACCCTGAACAGAACAGCACACAACTTCTGCAACTGTTCTTTTATTTTGCTGCTTCAAATGAAAACATTTGGACTTCCAGAAGAAATACAGAAAACGCAAATCTCATCACAATTTTCAATTACATCACTTCTGAAATGCAGCTTTTCACAATAAACTTCCCCAGATCTGAAGAAGAGCTGCTGCCAAAAGTTAGTCTTGCACGTCTCCAGCCCATAGCCACACTTGCATCTTATGCTGCCAATGAGAATAAATTCCACTGTAAGAAATCAGTTTTTGTAAGATTTGTTTCCGGCTGACCACCATTACAATAGTAATGCCCGAAAAGACATTCACTAAGTCTTCCACCTGTTGTCCTCTAAACTGGTGAGGATGCCATTGCCTTTGTTTTCCCTGAATACCAACAAAAGCTCAGGGGATTTGGTACTAGAGTTTCATGAAGACTGCACCCGCATCTGCCAGACTCTGTTGTTGCACCTCACACACAAAGATACGCAGAGATACAAGTGTGTTATTTCCTGGAAACAAGATGAGCAGAAATTTCTTGGAAGTTTCTGAGACAGTATAACCAAACACAGCAACCAAGGTGTCTACTACACTCACTGTACTGGGCCAGGAGAAGCAAGATAAGAAGTCTGACTGGAATGCAGAAAGACCCTGACGCATAAAAGAGTAACACATAATGAGATAAACTAAAGAAACAGAGGCAATCGGGACAGGGACAAGTAGAAAAAAAACCAACAAAAAATGCTATAAGAGAACATGCTTAGAAGACACAGGTGCAGAACGCTGCAGTAATGAAAGAGGCTCTACTGGCAGAAAGCAGCCCCTGAGGTTCAAATCTGTTAGGCAGCAAATGCTTCCCAAACTCATCAGTAACATGAAGGCTTTAGCATCCTTTAGCATGAGGCCTGACTGCATTATACTTCATCAGCTACCAGTTACCCAAGTGACATGAAAGTGTCATAGCACTGATCAAAGAGTTTCAACCTTCCTGACAAGGAAAGTCAGCATCGGTACTGCTCCAGGGACTTTTGTTCATCTGTGTTCAAATTAAAATGGCATCATCTAAACACCATCCTTGCACGTATGGTTTAAAAAAGAACCTTAAGGTGCAAGTAAAAAATTCTAGTAAAAGAAATGACTACCAAGCCAAGTTTTGCAGGAAATTGGTTTAACTCCAGCTGAAATTCCTCAGGGAGACAGGACAAGTAATACCTTACGAACTGCATCTAAGTTTTCTGGGAGTCCAGCTGAGGTCTGTCATAGAAGTTTACATACACAGTTAGAAAGAAAAAAAAAAGCTCTTCACAGAATATATGAAATGCAAAACTAAATTCCCCAAAGAACATCAGTCCTAGCCATCTCAGTGATGGAATCTTGTTTAATCTTTTCCAGTATCAATACATTATACAAGAAATCTTGTTATTCCCATTTCAAGCTCATGTTTGTGATAAACTAAGAGGTCGAACCAAAATTACTCTTTCTGTAATCAACGAGTGAGTTTGACAGTGTACGATATGTTCCTTTTCCTCCCCATATGTTTAATATTACTGTACAACTGAAGGTTACCATAGCACTTAGGCATAAAAACCAACAAACTACAACTTAAAAAAATTTTCATACTTTCTTGCTAAAATACACTATTTTGCAGCCTCACCACTACTGTTCCATACCTGAGTGCATATTTACTTGAATTAATAAAGTCTAAGCAACATTTAAAATAAGTTCATTTAAAATATGCCTGTCTTGGCTCACTAAACAATACTTAACTGAATTGTTAGGGAGACATTTCTGTATGCGTATCTGGAAAGGCAATGGTGTTGCCATCCTAAAGAAGTCTGGGATTTTAAAGAGCTGCATTTCATACAAGGACCAAATCAAATCTCATCTTCCTAGGGAAGGAATAGAACACATGTGTGCATATGCTTACTACAACCCAAGAATCAAATAATTCAGGAATCTGTTTTGAGATTAAAAAAGATGAAATTTAGTTTTACATTGTCTTAGCTTCAATCATTATCATCTCCACTACAGTCTGTACTCTCAAGCAGAAAAGATGATCAACATATCAAGTCTGGAAAACAGACTGAAGAGGCCAAATATATGTAAGAATATATATAGCTCATACACATCAGTAGCATTGACAAGAAATTAATGGAAAAAATTACCAAGGAATTTGTCTCCAAAGAAACGCTAATCGATTATTCTGAAAAAGTTTTGGATTTGTTTTGGGGGGTTTGCTTTGGTTTGGGTTTTGGTGTTTGCTTGTTTGTTTTACACTCTGCTAGTAGCACATCACAAAAATCGTGACCACCCTATACTACATACTTTCACATATGTTCTCGTAAAACTCCAGATTTTTACTAAGCAAAAAGCAAAGATATTCAGCGAGTGCATATTTAAGTCTTTCACTTAGGATCACTTCATCTGAAATATACTCCCTGAATTCTTCTGTTCATTCATCAGTTCTGAAGTAGTGTTTAGCAGTTGAAACTACTTCACTTTTTCAGTCCCTTGCCAGGAAGTTATTCTGTCAATAACCAAGAGCTAAAGCCATCATCTACTATGTCTTTGTAAGAAAGGTGATCCTTATGACACATCAGCTATCATGCTGCTTTTACTTTAAAAAAGTTTTTCTAATATGCATGAGATATTTCACCAAGTAACAATAAATCCAAACAGAAAATATTTTCATTAAAAGTGTGAATTTTAGTTAATTTTGATGGTGTAATTACATACACTGAAAAACTATTCTACAAATTATCACTCTCTACAACTACCTGAAAGGAGGTTGCAGCAAAGCTGGGGTCGGCATCTTCTCCCAGGTAACTAGTGACAAGACAAGAGGGCTGAAACTGCACCAGGGGAGGTTCAGGTTAGACAGACATTAGGAGGCATTTCTTCACAGAAAGAGTCGTTAGGTATTGGAACGGGCTGCCCAGGGAAGTGGTGGAGTCACCATCCCTGAAGGTGTTTAAGAAAAGACTGGACGTGGCACTCAGTGCCATGGTCTAGTTGACACGGCGGTGTTAGGGCAAAAGTTGGACTCGATGGACTCTTCCAACCTCACTGGTTCTGTGATTCTGTGAAATTGTTCTAGTATATTTTAGAACACGCTAAAATTAGCCTAATATTTCTACAACTCTGAGCAAGCAATATAGTCCCATCTAGTCATCTGTGACCTATTAAGAGAACAAAACTTTCTACTTACTGCAGCGGCCTCATTTGAACAAACTGAAGCATCAGTTGAGAGATACATTGTGACAAGAACAATCCTTCTTCACATCTATTTTCCCCATTTCAATTTTTCTGTACTTGCTGCACTGAGGTTGTTACATTTCCCCCTGTCACCCCCTAAGTGGCTCCTATTGTCATCTCCAATTTCACACTTGCCCAACCTGCCTGCTCTTCTCCTCGTGCTCATTCCCAACACTCCCAAGTACAAAAGTGAGTTAGTTATTAATTCCTCAATGCCAGTGCCCACCACTTCAGTGAGAACCACCTAAAACGCCCAGGTACTCCAAGACATTAGTACATCTGCGTAGTAGTAAAATTTGATCAGACTGGGTTAAGGCAGTAGAACCATATATCTAGTCCTTCCAGCCTTCAACTCCTTGCTTCTCTTCATCTGTACATGTCAGTAAAATCACCTCCTCCAGACAGCTCAGCTGACTAATAAATAACAAATCCATTCTATCCCAGCCAAACAGCTTTACTGATGCTTGGTCTACTACACTTCCAAGAAATTATCTTAAAAGCCAAACGCTCGTCATTAACAGCTCTTTCTGTACCACAGTAGGACTTCTGTTGCCTTTGTATAAGCTATGCAACATTTTAAGGACGTGCATGACCAACTCAGAATTTTGAGTTATCTCTGAAAAGACTCAGTTTTCGCTCTCAGCTAGTAATTTAATACAGCATACAAAGTTACTCTTAAACAGCAAATAAGTGGTAGTTAACCTTCCC